CGGGTGTCGTTCAGCGAGGCCGGTGATGGAGCTGTAACTGGGTGAAGGGTGCTTACCCTGGTCGCCGGGCTGAGTCGCGCGGTGGCCAGAGGACTTCAGCGAGCTCCGGGGAGAGGTCCAGAGAGCGGGACTGTGTGTTCGCTTGTGTATCTGTATATCTATATACCTGTATATCTATATGTCTGTATCTGTATAGCTGAATATCTGTGTATCTATATATCTGTATATCTATAATGTATCTATAAACGGGAGGAAATAGCGCTGTGTTCTGCAGTGACTCCTGCAAACTCTCGCCTCCCCACCGCGAAGAGCCGCGCTCGAGTGTCAAAGGGAAAAAACAGGTGGGGTGGTGGCACCGAATGGGAATTCTGTAAAAAGAGGGAAAGTTTTTGAAAAGAGATGGAGGGAAAAGTAGAAGAAAACTCACGTGGTTCAAAGAAATACTAAAGTTAAAGAAACACCAAAGGCAGGAAGAGGCAAGCAAGGGCCGTGCTGCCTTCTGCTCCACAAGGAGCGAGTTCAGGAGCGCTCTCCCCGGGCTCAGCTGCCTCCGAAACCCAGGCTCTCAGTGGCTGGGCAGCTCAGGGCAGATGCTGGAAGGATCTCGAGTGTCTTTTACCACAGTTAAAACTCTGGCCTCTTCACACCTTCATCCTCTGAGCTGTCTGATTCAGCAAATGTTTTGTTGTTGACATACGCGCAGGTCGGTCCTTCCCCGCAGGCACCAACACGGCCCCTGTCAGCAAGGCAAACCCCGAGCGACTCCCACCCGAGCACCCCCGTGCACCAGGGAAGGTCCAGCCCCATTTCATAGGAAGGGGGGGAAACCATAAAAAGGAAAGAGATTAAACAATTTGCCTCAAAATCACACGATTTCTTGGAACAGACAGGGACGCGGACTGCACGACCCAAAACCCAAGTCAGCACCAGCACCCCATGATGGTGAGAGGATCCCTGCCCTCTCGCTTTCCGGCCCCTGACTCCCGTGGAAGGGGCACCGCTTACGGTTTGAGGTGACATTTACAGACTGCTCCTACTCTGAGGAACGCTTTTGCTTACTGTGACTGTAGCAGTGTAAATACTACGTGAGGTTTTGGAAAGAAAAATCTTAAGGCACAAATGCAATGCAATACTTCCTCATTAGGGGAAAGATACTTCCCTAAAATGAATGTCAAGTGATGAGGGAAAAAATCCCCCCTTTTAAAGAAGTGAGATTTGGGAAAGCGTGGAGGCGCTGACAGCAGGGAAGCTGCCCCTATGAACCATCACCGACTGCGTTAGGACAATGGCCACAAAACAGTGAGACAGGATTTAAAACATCCTGACTATGCTTTGGACAGAGCAAAGTCTTTTGTGATAACAAGATCTTAAAACAACTCACTTACCTCTGGAGCACCCTAGCCTGGCCTAGGCCGTGGATGTGTCCCAGCCACGGGCGCAGGCCTCCCCCAACTGCACTTTCAGGACAAAAGCCATGGCAAAGCCGTGGTACACTGAAGGTTGTATTCAGACAGCTACAATCATGGGCAAAACTGAGGGCAATCCCACAGCCGACAAGGCTAGCGACCTTAACCGAGTGAGACTTGGACACTCCTTCCTCCTGAGTCACACAGTGACCACAAGACTGAAGGGCGGAAGTAGGAAGGGATATCTGGACATTTTCTCTCTCTTTTGCAAGGTCTCAGAGCCCCATTCAGGGATGACCCCACAGGCCACAGACTGGAATTGAGGTTCACATTCACCCAGTGCCCCGGGAGTACACAGCAAATCCACTTTCAAATTGATGGCAAAATGAAAATCCATTTACATTTGGCTGTTCAGTTTTGCCAAACCTTTCTCTTGATGGCTCCTTACAGAATCACAGAATGTTGGAAGTGACCTCTGGGGATCATCCAGTCCAACCCCCCTGCCGAAGCAGGGTCAC